CGAATGAAATTCTGGTAGAGTTTTGGAAGAGTGCGGGCAAGGCAGCTTGGAGTGGTACACTAGGTTATCTAATGTCATTGTTAGAACAAAGAAGATGCCCGAAGAGTGAAGGTGGATCACGATGGTTCCTGTATACAAGAACAAGGTTGGTATCCAAAATTGCAATAACTATCGGGATATCAAGCTGCTTAGCCATACTATGAAAGTGTGGGAGAGAGTGGCAGAGCTAAGGGTAAGGAAGAGTGTGTATATTTTTTAGAACCAGTTTGGGTTTATGTCGGGGCGTTCGACTATAAAAGTCATTCACCTTGTTAGGAGATTGATGGAGTGGTGTAGGGAGAGAAAGAAGGACTCGCATATGGTGTTCATCGACTTAGAAAAGGCATACGATAAAGTTTCGAAGGAGGTTTTGTGAAGATGTTTGGAGGCTAGAGGTGTATATGTTGCCTACGTTAGGTTGATTAAGGACATGTATAATGGGGTAAAGATTTTCGGTTATGATGGGATTGCATCAGCGGCCGGCACTCAGCCGTTTTTTGTTTGCTCTGGTGATGGACATACTGACGTGCCACATCCAAAGAGAGGTGTCGTGGTGCATACTATTTGCAGATGATATTGTATTGATTGACGAGATGCGAGACGATGTGAATGCACAATTAGAGATATGAAGGCAGACCCTGAAATCTAAAAGTTTCAAGCTGAGTACGACTAAGACAGAATACTTGGAGTATAAGTTCAATGGCGAGACTCAAGGAGGGGAAGAGGAGATGAGGCTGGACTCGTAGGTCATCCATAGGAGAGAGAGTTTTAAGTACCTTAGGTCTATTATTCAAGGGGATGGAGAGATTGATGAAGAAGGTACACATCGTATTGGGGCTGGATGGATGAAATGGAGACTCGCTTCCGATATTTTGTATGACAAGAAGGTGCCACCGAAACTTAAGGGTAAGTTTTACAGAGTGGTGGTCAGACCAACGATGTTGTATGGGGCTGAGTGTTGGCCAGTCAAGATCACTCACATCTAGAAGATGAAGGTAGCAGAGATGAGGATGTTGAGATGAATGTGCGGGCACACCAGGTTAGATGGAATCAGAAATGAGGTTATTCACAACAAGGTGGGTGTGGCCCCTATTGAGGACAAGATGCGGGAACTGCAGCTTAGGTGGTTGACACTGGAGGGCCTACGGAGAGGTAGAGGCAGGCCAAAGAAGAGGTGGGGAGAGGTGATTAGGCAAGACATGACGCAACTTCAGCTGACCGAGGACATGACCCTTGATAGGAAGGTATGGAGGTCGAGTATTAAGGTAGTAGAGTAGGTAGTCTAGAGTGTTCATAATAGTAGTATTGGCACGCAGTTCACTTTTTGTTAATAGTTGGTTTTTATGACTAACCGTTGTTTTCTTTCATTGTTGATCATCTAACTGTCTTGTTGTTTCGATTCTGCTTTTATATGGCTTTTTGGTATTGTCCTTCTTGTCTATGTTTTCATTAATGTGGTGCTTATGCTTTCCTGAGCTGAGGGTCTATTGGAAACAACCTCTCTATCCTCATAAGATAGGGGTAAGGTCTGCGTACACACTACCCTCCCCAGACCCCACGATGTGGGATAATACTGGGTATGTTATTGTTATTGTTGTACTACAATTTAGAGCCTAATTATCATATGTAACTATACTTTATCGAATTATCCTTTATAGATAATGTTCAATTGTTATCAGCTTGTTTCACTTGTATCCAGACACGCAACAAATATCGCCTATAGTCAGCTATATTCGTTCGTGCAACGAATAAATGTATTAACTATATACAACCTGTATCAATTGTATTCGTTCGTGCAATGAATACAACCAAGGCGAATTACATGGGTATTACAAAGGATACAACATGTATCAACTGTATTCGTTCGCGCAATGATTACAACCAAAGCGAAATACAGGAGTGTATATAATGGATACAACCTGTCGATTGTATTCGTTCGCGCAACGAATATAACTAAGGCAAAACACAGAAATACAGAAAAATAGCATGCTCTCCTTAAGATTTGAGCTCAAGACCTCCGCTTATTAAACGGTTGCTCTAACCAACTAAGCTCTCTCTTGTTTCAGTTAAAAAAATGATCTCTTATCTCAGTATTACAGTTGGATTTGCTATAAATTTTAGCTACGGCTAATAATTTTCTGAAAGAATAACTAAGAATGATAAACACAATGTATATATTAATGTGTCGCGTAATTTTGGGTGAAATTAAAAAAAAGCCAGATTTACAAGTGGTAATTTAAAAATAGCCACAATTTCAAAAGTAATCAAAATTTAGTCACTTTTCATGTAAAGATAAATATGAATGAAAACACTATTCAAAATTCGAAAAAATATTCCAGCATAATATACTGAAGTTCGAATGTTTTACATATGAACTTCCAGCATAATATACTGGATTCCAACATAATATAATGAAGTTTCAGTGTAATATACTGGTCCAGCATAATATGCTAGAAGTTCATATACAAGTGCTCCAATCTTCAACTTTCCGTGTGTTGGAGTTTTAGCATAATATGCTGGAAGTTTATACATAGGTGCATCAATCTCTAGTATATTATGCTGGAACTTTCCATATTGCAACAAAATAGTGACTATTTTTAATGACTTTGCAAACGCTGATTATTTTTTAATTACCAGTTCGAAAACTAGCTAACCCGTACTATTTTCACCATAATTTTTCCTTTAATAATGCTTATGGGCCAGTTTTTCGGACAGAAGGGCTAGGGGCTAATATGCGAAGAGACAAAAGAATTAGACAGGCCAACAAGAAATTTGTTTGACAGACATTGGAAGGTATCGTTATCAGTTAGTTTCCTTTGTGAATTGTTATATCTGTTACTTTCTTGCTAACTAGAGTGTTTAATTAGGGAGAAGTGGACAATTAGTCACTAGCTAGAGCTGTATTTACGTTTTAGCCACTATTTAAAGTGTATTTACTCTTTAGTCAGTGCTTTAATAACTTTTAATTTTCCAGACAAAAATACTGTTGTGCTAGACATGGTGTCCTTAACTTCATGAGTGTTGTGTAAATATTAAGGACAAAGTAATTAGCACCTTCTGTTTTAAACTTTAGAATATCTTGTCCTTAAATCCTCAATAGAATCGTGTGTTAATTGAAAAAAGAGAGAGGAGAAACATAAATAGAGTATTTCACGCCTCAATTATAATATATACTATAAATACCTATTTTGCTATAAATATAAAAGGTAACTATAAAAAATAATATTTTAAAATAATTTTAATTTATAACAAATAAGGTGTATACTTTTGCTAGAGGAGCTAAAATATCCTATTACATATGAACCAAGAAAAATAATGGAAATTTTACCACCTATAGAATAGGTTAGTACCCTATTTATATTAAATAAATACCATTTTAAAATATTACATCCTATAAATATCTTTATAGTTCATAGAAGGATATGTTCTCTTATGAATCAGTTTGGGCTACGTATTTAGCCCAAATCAGACCTACATTTAGATGCGCTGACTTGGGTTGTTTCTAAAGTGACCAGTTGTGAAAATTGTTAAAATAACACGGTATAGCCAGTTTTCGGACTGGTCATTTAAAAATAGTCACCGTTTACGAAGTCAATAAAAAATAGCCACTATTTTGCTGCAACAGAGATCGGTCCCGCATAATATATGGGAGTTCGGTGCATCTGTGTACGAACTCCAGCATATTATGCTGAACCGGTATACTTTGCTGACTCTTGTATAATATAGGGGAGACTGGAGCACCGGTGCTCCAAACTCCAGTATATTATATTGGACATTTATACTTGCTGGAACTCCAGTATATTATGCTGGAGTTCTAGTGTACTTATGCTGGAACTCCAACATATTATGCTGGAAGCTGGAGTTCCAGCATAGTTATCCTGGAACTCTCGTATAATATGCTGGAGTTCAAACATACTTATGTTGGAACTCCAGTATAATATATGAGCGTATTTTTCGGGTTTTGAACAGTTTTTGCGCTCAGATTTATCTTTACATGAAAAGTGGCTAAATTTCGATTACTTTTGAAACTGAGCTATTTTTGAATGACCGGTTGTAAATCTGGCTATTTTTAAATTTCTCCCGTGAAAATTTGCCAAGTCCAACCAGCCCAAACTTGAACGAGCTAGACGGATCACCTTCTTTGGACAATATTTTATTTTTCATGGAGAAGAATGACCTAAAGTAAACTGTAACCTATCTTGAACAAGTGTGTCCGACTTTTCATCTTGATTAATAATCAAAATCTAAAGACACAATTTTTTATCTTTTTCGTGGGTTAATTTTTTCACCCATAAACAAAAGTAAGCAACAAAGTGCTAGGTGTATAATAGCCCTCAGATCTCTTGTATAGGTTTTGGTGTCAATTGATAAGGGGTGTAATTCAAAAATATCTAGATTTACAAGTGATAATTAAAAAATAGCCACAATTTTAAAAGTAATCAAAATTTAACCATTTTTCATGTAAAGATAAATTTGAACGAAAATACTGTCCAAAATACGAAAAATATTCCAGCATAATATACTTGAGTTCCAGTATAATATACTGGTCTAGCATAATATGCTGGAAGTTCATGAATAGGTGATCCAATCTCCAGTATGTTATGCTGGAACTTTTCGTGTGTTTGAGTTTTGCATAATATGCTGAAAGTTTATACACAGGTGCATCAATCTCCAGTATATTATGCTGCAACTTTCCGTGTTGCAGCAAAATAGTGATTGTTTTTCAATGACTTTGCGCTGGCTATTTTTCAGTGGCCAGTCCAAAAACTGGCTAGCCCGTGCAATTTCCGTAAAGTTGGGTCAAATTTTTATTTTTATGTATATATTATGTTTTGAATCTCCATAGTTTCTTTGTGTATTTACTTTTTATATTTTACACCACTTATTGAAATTTCTTGCTCCGTTACCGAAAACAACCACAGCTAAAAACAGGAAATATGCATCTCCTGAGCAGCAGACACTAAGTTAAACCCTTCCATGTTGTTATTAATAATAAGATCAACACTGTTATTTTACACCATTGCCAAATCACAGGCAATGAACTCAGCTTTGCTGAATATAATACAAATGGAAACCAGGAAACAGCAGAACATTACAAGATATCTAACTATACCCTAATGACATTGTGAGGAAAGGGTTGTTCCGAAATTCAATTCTTTCTCCAAATTTTCCACCCGAGAATTAATACTCGTCGAATCCTCAAAAGACGACTACATACTCAGGGCTTGAACAGGATTGTGGTCTCAGCAATCATGGAAGTCACGACGTATGGATCCATGTTCGAAGCAGGCCTCCTATCCTCGAAGTATCCCTTTCCTTCCTTCTCCGTGTCTCTTCCCACACGAATAGATGCACCACGGTTTGCAACTCCCTAGATAATCCAAATGCATCAATATAAATGAGATACATGACATTTAACTTATATACACTGACAGTATAAAGAGTTTTTACGCTATCAGTATATAAGACTGCAGTATCACGTACCCATTTGAATGTGTTGATGTCAGCTGTTTCGTGTCTTCCAGTGAGACGACGCTCGTTGCCTTCACCATATGCTGCAATATGCTCCTTGTGCCTCAGTCCAAGCTTCTCAATTGCCTTCTTAATGACTTCATAGCCTCCTTCATTCCTCATAGACTTTGTGCTGAATGAAAAAACATTCCAAATTTTCAATCATTTAGAAATAGAGAAAAATAATTGGTAAAGTTGTTGTTATGTGACCGGGAGGTCACAGGTTCAAGCCTTGAAAACAGCCTCTTGCACAAATGTAAGGTAAGGTTGCGTACAATAGATCCTTGTAATTTGACCCTTCCCCCGACCCCGCGCATAGCGGTGGCTTAGTGCACTGGGTTGTCTCCTTTTTTTAGAAATAGAGAAAAATATTAATTATGAGTTGAATATGAAATGTTATTATTTATTGCTTTACCTGTAGTTTGTATGAGCACCTGCACCATTCCAATCACCCTAGAAGGAAAAAAAAAAGAGTATTTGAGGTTAGGATTTAGGCGTTTGGACCTGATTTGGTCGAAATTTGAAGGAAAAAAAAGTATTTGAAGTTGAAATTGAAAAGGATATTTGTTCTCTATGTCAAGAGTTTGAGCCATGAAAACAGCCTCTTGCAGAAATGTAGGGTAAGACTGCGTACAATAGACTCTTGTGATCTGGCAGCCTTTCCCCAGACCTTATGCATAGCGGGAGCTTAATGCACCGGGCTGCCTTATTTGCTCTACGAATACAAAATAGTGAGCTTACCGGAATAGGTTTAGGGTCAAATGACACCACAACTCCAGCAATCTCAGTAATCCTCTGTTTAAACAACAAAATCAATAAGTGAATTTAAGTTAAAATCTACATAGTAAGTGAAATGAATTGAAATTGAGGCTAAAATTACCAACAACTTAGCTACATTACCTCAAGAATGTAACGAGCTGCCCACAATTCATCAGCTGCTGAAATGCCAACTGAAGGTCCAACTTGAAATTCCCACTGCATCACATCATATCGAAATAAAGCAAACTAGGGTTCAGAGGAATCTAAGACAGGTTCTGTAGGTTCAATTAAACTAATTATTTTCGCTTGAATTATATATACATATAATAATATCATATTCATTGTGAACTCACTGTCTCTATATTCGCCTAACCTAATAAAGACCAGAAGGAATAGGCTCTATACCTGTCCGGGCATCACTTCTCCATTGATACCACTGATGTTAATCCCAGCATAGAGACATGCCTTATAATGAGAGTCAACGATATCGCGTCCAAAAGCCTTTCCAGCTCCAATTCCACAATAGTATGGTCCCTAAAATCATAAAATAAGTCAGATAACATTCATCAGCTGTTAGAAAAGGAAAATTTCATAATCTTACACAATCTACCAAAGAATTACTATATGGCATTCAACAAAAATCATGTATTTTGTAGTCTTAGGAAGTTGCTTGAAACAAGGGGGAATTATTCACTTTTTTTTAAGTCATTATTTTAACATTACTTGATAGCATTGTTGAGAAAAACAATATTAGCATAGACATAGACATCCCTGCAGAAATAAGAGGGGAGGATATAAAAGCAAGAAAAAGGTATTGGTTGAAGAACTAAAAATGTTACACTTTTTTCCCCATTATTCTCTTTTTCCATGTGAACATGAATCTGATTAGGTACTAAGAAACCAAACAAAGAACAAATGCTTGTAAGCTATATTGATCGGATTTTCCAAAAATACTGCCGCATTCATGTTGGAGGATTTGACACAAGTGGGACGGCAATTTTGGAAGGTCGGAGCAACATAGCCTGAAAGATATTTTAAAAAAAGGAAAGGAAAACTGCCATCTGGAGTGGGAAAAAAGTGTTAACAAATTTACCTGTGGTCCAGGAAAACCACCAAGAGGCCATCCAAGAGGCCAATTGATATCTTTTTGCAGCAAGGTGTATTCTTGCTCAAGACCATACCTAATTTACACAATTTATTTAACAGTTAGAGAATTTCCAAAAATTATATAGGGAAATCTTTTGAAGGGGAATCTTGGCGTAACTGGTAAAGTTGTTGCCATGTGATCAGGAGGTTACGGGTTCAAGCCGTGAAAACAGCCTCTTGCAGAAATGCAAGGTAAGGCTGCGTACAATAGACCCTTATGGTCCGGCCCTTCCTCGGACCCTGCGCATAATGAGAGCTTAGTGTACCGGGTTGCCTTTTTATATAGGAAAAAAATTTCTACTTTGAAAACTAAATAGGATATATGTCAATATACCAGGGTTCCTCAACAACAACATCAGGGTGGCTGAAAATCTTGGCAGCACTGTGCCTTTTGTTTGTTGGAATGGGTTCACCAGCTGGGGTGTAACAATCACAAATGACCTAAAATAAACAGAGGAAAAAAAAAAGACAAAAAAAAGGTCAAACATATGATTACATAGTCCAAATAATAGTACTGAACTAAAGAACAATGGAAGAGAATGCAAGATTTAATGACATGTATCAAGGAAAGGATTTTACTATACACATTGAATGTGCAAAGAATTTCTATACTATCAGTGTAGTTTAGCATGTTGTAATAGATAATCTGCCTTAATTTTTAAGTACCAATTACACTTTCTCTTGACGGTTACATATAATTATTTTTTATATTGTCAGTATATAATAATTAAAATCAAAGGTAAATGTGCAACTCACCAAGATATTGTTGCCCCTTCTGAATGGATCCTTGAAAATTGCTTGAGGACTGTATCAAAATTATAATAAGTGACATTTAGATAATTGTTCCTTGTAAAGGACATAAAAATTACTCCAATCTGTTAAAATTTATGTGTTTTAGTTTGATTGGGCACAAAGTTTAAGAAAGACTTTTAAATCTTATAGTCTTAAACTAAACATGTGTATAATATACCAAAATGTCTTTAAAATGTGGTCTTAAATATGTCATGCGAAAAGTTGGAGTTAAAAAATTACAAGAGACTTTCTTTTTTTAAATAGACTAAAAAGGAATGTAAGACACATAAATTGAAGACTACAGAAAACTTACTATAGGATCACTTCACTGTCTTCTCCAGGAGCTTGTCCTGTGCTAGAACCATCATAATTCCATTTGGGAAGCTTTGAAGGATCATCAACAGGTCCAGAAAGTGTCTTTATATAAAAACATATAGCAGTAATTTAGCAATCTTATGTATTAAAAAGAAAAAAGGATTATGTTATCTAAAATAAATAAAAACAAATAGAAGATTTTATACTCTGGCTTTGCTCCTGACGTCCATTCCTGATCCACCAATCCTGATTATAAACAAAGAAGATATACCAAGAACTAGATTAACATCAAAATTTACATTATAGTAATTGAAAAACAACATATTACCATAGAAGCAAAGGATTCCATTATACATATAAGTTCTTGATTACCATGTAGTATTATAGTACTGAAAATTTAGTTCAATAGCAACATACCCAGTGTGATCCAACAAGTGAAGTCTTGGGAGCAGAGGCGGAGTCAGAATTTTAAGCTTTTGGGTTCAAGCAGTGGCAGAGCCACCTTATAGAAAGGGGTGTCAAATGACACCTCTTCGCGAAAAAAATACATTGTGTAGCTAGGTAAAAAAATAAATTATATATATATATATATATATATATATACTATGTATTGACTCCCCTTAATTTTTTGGTATGTTTACTTTTATATATTTTGACCCTTAACAAAAATTTTGGCTCCCCCACTGGGTTCAAGATTCTAATAGTTTTAAGTTACTGGATTCTAACTTAATAATTTATACAAATTCAATGAATTTTTTAAGACAAATGCATGGTTTGAACCAAATCTATTGGGTTCGCCCGAACCCGCTCCCAGCACTCTAGCTCCGCCCCTGCTTGGGAGAGTGGGGTGTACGAAAAACTTACCTCTGCCTTGCGTAAGATAGAGAGGCTATTTCCGATACATCTTCGGCTCAAGAAAAACTTTTAAGTCAATGGGTGCAAAATACTAATGTACATATTACTTCTCTGTGACAATGAGTGTGAATTTTGAAAAATATAAATATTTTTAATATTTATTCAAAGTGAAGCTGAACATGGCACTGTGGACATTGGCCATTGCCAATGGCTACTAAGAACAAACAAAGGAAAACTAATGTACACTTCCTATCTTAGGAGAGAAAAATGGAAGCAAATAAAAGCACAACAAAAATAATGAAATAAGATATCTTGGATAAGCAAAACTACAAAAAAACAGTAAAGATCAAGAAAAATGGATGTAATGAATTAACGTATGTATTACAGAACTAACCATATGGATTAAAATTGGTTATGTCTACTGCGAAAAGTATTACAGAACTAACCATATGTATTCAGCAATAATTTTCTGAGTGGAGTCAGAGAGATTGAGATTAACGAGATCTGAAAGATGAGCCATATTGGAAAATAAGAGTTCTGAAATTGGCTGAGTTCGTATATGAGAGAATAAAAATGTGTATAAGCAAAGGTGAAGATGTAGAGAAGCAGTTTGCTCTGTTTTTATAGGCAGCTTTGAGAGTGTTGGTTGTATAAAACTATTCATATTATTACTTACTCCTATTCAACTTCTAATTAATATGTGAAAAATAAAACTTCTAATTAATAAAAAATCTGCCCGTCCCAATTTTTTTAAAAAAAATTAAGTTCAGAATATGAGAGGCTACTTTTTGGTCAACTTGTTTTCTCAATTGAAATCAGATAGCAGGCTCGTTAAATAGGGAGTAGTACAACAGACGGAACCAGAAACTTTTATAAGAGAATTCAAAATTTTAAGTATATTGCACTTAAAATTAGAATTTGCAGCCTAAAATCATTTTTAAACCGCCTTTATTACTACAATGAAAGCTTCTCAAGAGGATTTTAAAAACTTATATATGTACAAGTAAAATTATTTTTATTCTATTTATATAGTGCATTTTTTCGATAAAAGAAATTCAACTATAACATTTCAAGGCTCCACAAAGGGAATAATAATGTCATTTGACAAAAAGAAATAAAAGAAGAAAGATCAAAAGTCATTGTTTGATTTCTTAAGTTTCTTTAAACATTACATCGAAAAATAAATAGACTTAATTGATCTAGTTCTTCCTAAACGCAGAATATAATAAAAGATTCATGCACCAATATGTTCTTCCATAAAAAGTGAGGGCCGTTTGGTTCAAAATCAGAATATATATTCCAGGATTATAATCTAGGACTGAAATCAGGATTATAACCCGGATAATATGTACCACTTTTTATATGAGGTAAGTTATACTAATATTTTGGCATAAAAAATAGTAATTTATTGATTTTAGCTAATACCTTGAGATACAAAATAAATTTAATCTCAAATATTATTCCCAGATAATCCGTCCAATCCATGTGTAGCCTATATGTTATGGGTTCAAGCCGTATAATCAATCATTAATTAATGCTTGTGTTAGAGTAGACTGCCTACATCACATCCATTATGGTGCGACCCTTTTCGGGACCTTACATGAATGCAAAATATTTCGCGCATCGAGCTATTCAATCTGTTTAATCCCTTGAAAAGGCTCTAAAGAAGTAAATAAATTGGAAAAATTGATTATTTTTTTTCCCAAGAGTAGGTAACTAGCCCAAAACAAGTAAAAGAGAGTTGCCTTAGTAGGTACTAACTATTAATGCGTAAAGAGAAGCACATTGAGGATTCTCATGTTTATAAGCGAGTAATTGAAGTGCCCCTTTCTCAATCATCTTTGTCCATTTTACCAGAATTGCTTACTGATAATGCCAAAATGCAAACGTCCAACATGTGTACTGTTGCAGGAATCAATCTTTTTATTTTTGTTCACGTAATTCAAAGATATTTTAAGATATTTACACATCATCAATTAGTATGAGTTTACTCACATTGTCGGTCCCAAATTTCTTTAGTATTAAAACGTAATTGTTTTGTTACATCAACCGTAAAGACATTCTACCATGCCGCAATAGCTAAATCCAAACAAAATTCTAGCAAAGAATATAATGTCTTAGTTCAATCTCAAAGACAAAATTATTTTTTAAAATGGCCTAATGTGTAATAGTTTGGTTGAATTTACTCATTCGGTATTCGGTACCCGCATTGAAATTTGATTATATCAATTCACGGCGCGTAAGACCATTTAAGGGGGAGACGCTCCCTAACAAAAAAAATTCTATAGGTAGAGCTCGAACTCGAAACTTTTAATTAAGGGCGGAGGGATTATATCGATCCCACCACAACCCAACTCAAATTCTATTTTATATTTTTCAGAGACCTTCTCATTTTAATTTATATTTCACCTCGAATGTTACGAAGGATTATGAATCTTGGTTCAGCCAATTAATAACAAGCTGTGGGTTGTACGATAGATTATCACCCGTGAGAAATTCGAAAATTCCAATGATTCAACTCAGAATATTAGAATTAGAAAGAAATAAAGAAAAACTCATAACTCAGTACTCAGAGCATGAGCTTTGGACATTCGAGTCTCGAAAATGTGGGTCCCGGCACCTAATAAACAAAACAGTTGTCATATATATTCCTCTCTATTTCAATTTATGCGACATAAATATACAAAGTTTGTCAAAATAATTAGTAATTAATATTAAATTGACAAATATTTTGCTGCACACAGTACAAAACCAAGAGAGGTAATCGTAGTGAATGCGCCACTAGAATAATATATGGAACTTAAAAGTCACCTGCCGTCTTTAAGCGATTCAATACTGATTGCTAAACACACAGGGGCGAAGCTATGTTAGCTTAATGGTGGTTAACTGACCATCATTCGTCAAAAAATTACTACGTATAATGTAAAATATTATTTGTAATTGATTAAAAATAGACTTTGAACACCCTTGCATAGTCCATTGGCAAATTGAACACCATTATTAAATTTTCTGATTTCGCCACTAACTAAACATAAGAGAGTTATCTAGAGATAAACATTTTTCACTTACAATCCTAAAGTTACGAGTTGGAGTCTCAAGAGATGCAAAATAGGAAGCTTAAAAAAAACTCGATATTACGTGGCAACATATTAGCCGCATGAACATCTACGGCAAATTGAACGGTAAGGATTTCTCGTCGTGCCGGAAATCGACTTTCGTTTAGCTTTATGGCTTGTCATAAACAGTAACCATTTTGAACACTTTATTTTTGTTTTAAACATTTAGGATGCAAAATTTATTGGTTTGACTAAATTAAATTCGTATTGAATAAACTCAATGGAAAATGCTCATTATCGAGACAATCTCTCAAGTATCATAATTTATAGCTCAAACTCAGAATATCCGCAAATTGCCAATTCTTCTTTTTTTATTCCCTTTAGAAGTTTCCTGCAATTACACCTCTGACTTCGACATTCATAAGATCTATGTTTTATATGGTTTAGTTTAATAAATACCTATATATGTATTAATACAACTACAAGAATCTTGAATATTTATTCTGATAATAACCGTTA